TCTTGGGAGGACTCCTGTGCTGCAGAACAGTGGGACACTCTGGAACAGATCTCAGGCTTCTGTGCACAATTCAGAGTACATTTGTTCCCCAAGAGCCTCACAGATAGGGTCCTGTTCACAAGCCCACCCATATCTGCTTCTTTCAGGGCTTCTTTTGAGATCTTACATTGTTTCCAGCTATACAAAGTGGGACAGGGGTAGAGGCAGCATCCTGCAGATCAGGCCCTGATGTCTAAGGAGCTCCTTTCTGAGGAGGTGGCCGGCCTCACTGAGCGTAATGCCATGTTGACAGTCACAGTTACCCAGAGCCCTGACAGCCAGCCCCCACCCACTACCTCACATTTCACCAGGAGCTCTTGCTTCCTCTTTACTCAGTGTTTCCCACCTCCAAGTGCACATACAGCAGGCAGAATCTCCCAGGAGGAGAAGCAAAATGAGTACATTGGCTCTGCTGGGTTCTGTTGTGTGTGCTAGGTGAGGCCAAGGTGCATTGGAAACAGCAGCCCTGGCATCAGGAGCCTTGGGTTCTGGCCCCACTTTGCAAATTGTTTGCCTGTTATAAGCTTCCTTGGCCTGTGGGCCTGTTTCCTCATTTGTAATTGGTGATGTCTGATGCCCCTTCTGGGTCAGTAGTATAACAAATCTGTATAAAATAGAAGTAGAGATAAAGGTTTTATATATAAATTTGAAATAGTCACTTGAAGTGGGTAACTTCAGGGTAAAAGCTAAGTTTCTGATTACAATGCTTGTGGATGTTGGTGCACAGAAAATTCTGTGCATTTAGATTTCAGAGACAAAATTTGATAGAATGTTCATCTCACAGCTTTGATTCACAACACTGCCCTCTTAATTTTATCTCTCCAGTGGCCTTGCTTTGTCCCTTGCTGGAGGTGGTGGGGTGAGGGTGCTGGTGATGGTTGTGGTATGTACTTACACTTCTGAACCCTATAAGAAAACTTGGTGGCAACCCAGGCAGCACCTGGGGGTGATTGGGAGGAGCCAGGTGTGTGGAAGTGCTCACAGATCAAAAACATTCAGTTTAGGATCTTATCTGAGAGCCAGGTGTTCTCCACCCCCTTTCCTTCTGCCTTTTTCAGGATAGAGGTTGTTTTAAGGGTTGTGCCCTGGAAGAATAGGGGTGGCGTGGTGGGTGAAGGGCTGTCCCTCATGGGCCTCTGTCTGCTGCTTTCTGGCCAGAAACACAGGCTCAGGAGACTCATGGGGGATCTGCTTGGGTTTGTCTGTAGACGCCATGTCTCCCGCCCTGTTTTAGGGCTGCTGGTCTGGGGTCTTCTGGGAGCACGTATGATACAGACCTGGCCTGATCTTTGCCCCTTGGTCCTCTTGGAAGATGTTTGTGGATACCTGTCCCAGCATGGCCAGGGCACCATCTCTGAGGCTGGAAATCTCCCTGCCCAGCCCAGTAGCCATCAGCTCAGATTCAGGGTTGCTTCCCCCAGGACCGGGGCTCAACCTCTGCTGAGCCAACTTAGACATCAGCAATGTTTCTGCCAATGGTGTGGACTGATGGCACGTGTACATGGTGGGTTGGCTGTCACTGAATATTCAAAGCCAAGTCCAGTGATCCCTTTTTTATGGCTTTGAAGGGAGATGGGTATTTTTCAAGCCAGCCCTGCCAGAAGTAGGTCAGTGCTAATTCAGTGAAAAGTGGAGAAGGAAGGTCAGTAGAGGGAAATGATTTGTCGAGAAAGCACCTTAATTCTGGCTCTTCTGCAAAACAAAACAAAACAAAAACCTTCCCACCACAGAAATGTAGCACATGCTTGTTATATAAATTGTGGAAAGGACTGAACAGAGGAAGGAAAAAGAAAGACCCCCCCATCCAGCCCAGTGCTATTTCTTAGCTGCTGCTCCTCAGAGTCTGTTTGGTTTTAGAAGTGTGACTGCATATGTGTGCGCCATGATGGTTTCTTTCTACATGTCCTGATTCTTGGACCAGGTGATTCTGCTAGCGGTGTCCCAGTTGGTCCCAGTTACTGTTCTGAACGTCCCAAAATGATCCTCTGGCTACTTTTGCATCAGTGAGCTGAAAACTCATGTTTTCTTTTTTTCTCTGTTTTTTCTCTTTATTTCTGTGTGAGGATGGAGACCCCTGAGCTGCATTGCCAACACTAGAACACAAGGTACCAGGGCCTCAGTCCTGTTAGTCCCCGTGGTTGGGCCACTCAGTATGTTCTGTGCAGTGTGGAGTGCTCCCTTGACAGCCTACAGCACTCTTTGTGTCCAACATGCATTGAAGTAGGGTTTGGTGGTGGGCAGAGTATCCAGTATCCAGTCCTTTAAGTATCCACGCCTCCCCGTAGAAGTTGAGATTCTGATTGTCTGGCCCTATGGCTCTGGCCTTATCTTTTGCCTAGGTGGGCAGCTTGTTTTCCTGAGGAAACCACCCACCCAGTTGAAAGGAACCGCCAGAAGAAGCAAGCCAGAGAGTCCTGATGTGATGCACAGGAAATGTTCTAATTTCTCACAAGGGGCTACATTTGCATATGGCTATTTTGTTTTTCAGATATTGTGAGCCTTTGCTCTGCTGGGGTTGAGTCCAGGCAGCCTGGAACAGGCCTGGATGAGAGCTCTGTGGCCTCAGTTCAAACAGGACCATGGGAGATGACACAGCCAAATGGCCTGCCATCATATCAAGAGTGTAGCCACATTCTAGAATGCCCTGTTGAACTTGTCCCATGTGCTTCTGAAGATGATGGGAGGGGCTGGCTCTGGGCAGCCAGGAGGCTTCACCAGAAATGTTTGGGACTTCGGGCTCAGGGTCTAGCTTCTATTAGGCTGAGTGCCCCAATGGCTTCCCCTGAGATTTTAGGGAAAACACTTATATTCAAAAAAGGATGGGGCTCAAGTGTAAAATTCATGTGGATTTTTAGGATAAGCAACAAAACGTTGGAGCGATCATCTGAGGTGGGCTTAGTTCCTGACACTGGGGCCCTGCTTTAACTGACCCCTTCCTGAAAACAAGTTTTTCCAGGGATTGAACTCAGGACCTTGCGCTTGCAAGGCAGGCAGTGGAACCACTGAGCTAAATCCTCGGCCCCCAGTCCTGGACAGAGGCATGGTACAGATGGGGCCTCAGGAGTGCCAGCCTGGCCAGGTGCCCTTTGCTCCTGAGTTTTGGCTTCTGCTCACCTGACTCATTGGCCAGGCACATGGCTTCTTTACCCTTGGAATGTGGCACACCCCCAGGAACCAGGCACCTACCTATCTCCTTGCGGAGCAGACTATTGGAACCAGGAAGAGTTCCAGGGTTGTTTTGGTTAAATGTCTCATTTGCTAGGGAGACAGGCCTTGTTAGAAGGAGTAATTCCTGTGTAAGTGGCTCAGTGTGAGCCTTGGGCCCTTGGTGATTTAGGTGATTTTTTTTTTTTTTTTTTTTTTTTTTTTTTTTTTGTATCGAGGATCAAACCTCAGGTCCTTGTGTTTGCAAGGCAGGTGGCAGAACTACAGAGCTAAATCCCCGGCTGGCCCTTGGTGATTTGATCCCAGGCCAGCAAGCATCGCTTCCCTGGCTGTGGTGGTCCCATGCCACACTCTAAGCTCTGCAGCCCTGCTTGCAGGTCCTGTGCTAATAGGGGTCTTCCCTATTTGCTTGGGGCCTTCTTGCTGAGCCTGATTCCTGCTGTTTCCATGGTGCTTACCTTCTGAGGCAGTGCTGGCTTACTGTTTGCACAACATGCCTTGACATCTCTGTAGGCTGTACCTCAGCAGCCCAGTGTCTGGTGCAGACTCACATGGTGTGTAGGGTTGTATGGTAGATGGATCCAGGGCTCTCTTGCTCTTTCTGCCCTCCAGCCTTGGCTTTAGCAAGGTTGCTATACATGTCTTAGACTCCTTCAATTTTTTTTTTTTTTAAAGCTCCTGGAGAATGCTCCTTTAAAGTTATCTCTTAACCTGAATACAGGTAGGGGTCCCTACACAGTACCCACTTGCCCTTCCTTGGTGGCTGGGTATTAGACACATAGGCCTTGCCCTGCCACTTCCAATGTGTGCAGCCCAGGGAGTTCATAGTCTGCAGTCCCAAAATGGGGTACCCTAGCCCTGGGGACAGATAGAAGTTCATGCTAAAGCCAGTCTCTGACATAAGGCACCCTGAGAAGGTACTGTCATCCCTGCTGGTGAGTTTACCTGCTATAAACCTGCATCCTGTGTATAGATAGATGGGTCCTGCCTATTCCCTAGCCAAGGTGCTCTGGGATAAGAGGCCAGACCTAGGGTAGGAGTTCTTCAAAGCATCCACTAACAAGCTGCATTCCTAAAGGGCATGTTTATTTAAAAAGCCAACCCCATTGAAGTGAAAGCTGACCGGATCCTACTAGTGCCCTGAACATGCCCAGGCTCCTTTCCCCTTTTTCCAAAGTTTAAAGGCCTAGTGCTAATGCTAGTGCCAGCTTGCCCAGTGCCCCGTGGTGATTCAGGCAGCTGGTTCCCCTCTGGCCTGCTACCTTGTTCTGCTGCTGTTACATCTCAGTTGCTGTTCAGTTGTCTGTCCCTTCTCTCCCATTCTTTCTTACTCTCCAGCTTGGGAGGCCTAGGGTGCCAATGTGTCTTGTGTACCCAGCATAGCAGTGGCACTCAGTAAATTCCTCCTCCTCCCCTGCTGGGTCCCAATGCCCAACAGGATGCCTAGATTGTGATTGTTAAGAGATCCTTGCTCACTACCTGTGCGCTGCTTTAGTGCCTTAACATCATCAGTGGATGTGACGCATGGGCCTTAGACCCTCACAGTTCCTGATGATTAGAGCTGCCCATGAGATTGTTTCTGTTTTCCTCATGGAGAAACTGAGGCTTGGCCCTGAGGCCATGGCCTACCTGACAAGACGGGCTCCCTGAGGGTATCTAGGAAAGTGTGAGCTCTATCCCCTCCTGCCTTTTCCATCTTTATCTTCTACCAGTGATCCTTGACGCAGCAGCTAGCCATGAGTGATTCCTAACCTTGACAGTGTACACATGTCACACAATTGGCTCTTCTCCCATAGGAGGGGTCCAGAGGAGCCCTCATCCCAACCTGTGACGGCACTGGCCTTTTCTACCTTTTGTAAGAAGTGGTGGCCATGCTTCACCAGGAGGGGATGGTGTAAAACCAACCTTTTTTGAAAGTTGGCCTCCCTGGTCCTTTGCACCTGCTGAGAGAACCAGAATCCAGAGGGTAGGAGGAAGAGCTGCAGGACCAGGTCTACAGGAATAAAGGCCAGAGCTTCAGGGTGGGGAAGTCTGGGACACTGAGGTTGGCATATCCTTCAATGGAGTAAAGTCAGGAGGTCCATGGGTTGGGACATTGCCATGGGTGGAGCTGGGCCTGCCTTGAGAGAGAAAGGAGTGCAGAGGTTCTTGGAGCACAAAGGCTCTATGCCCCACATGTGAGCCACAGAACTCAGGTTTGTCTCTTTAATCTTAAGAAAAGTAGGTTTTTGTAGTTTTATATTTGGGCATTGGGAAAGAACCCTTGAAACCACCAAGTTTTATTACCCAGATTATAGAAGTTGATGCCTGTGCAGAAGGATCCTAATGAGTGCATTGTTTTGTGCCCAAGATGCCTCTGCACTTCTGGGCTCTGATGCATCCATGAGATTTAGGAGTCTCTGCTGCAGAGATACCCAGTGCTGTCCTCAGGACTGGGCTAGTTAGCTGCTCCTCTGTGGGGCTGGGAATGGAGGGGTGAGCACTGCATTCTGTCTCCTATGCCTGTGGAAGGCCCTATGGCAACCTCAGGATGCAAGACAGATCCGTCGATTTATGGGGTCATTTCCCCAGCACATATCTATGGGCCTTGCTGTTGAGAAAGCTGGGGCAGTGTCCTCACCTCAGTGGAGACCTCCATCCCAACTGTTTGCTCAAGGTATCTATTGGTGCAGGTACCAGGCACCAACTGGGGAGGCTCTGCTCCTCATTACCATGTCATTGGACCACACACTGAATATCTGAGTCCCTGTAGTATCCAAGCTCTGGTGGACTCAGCAGCCCCCAAATTATGTGCATCTAGTTATGGGCCTGGTCTATGGTAAGGAATGACAGAAACTCACTGCCCCACCCCACAGTGATCCTTGTACCTTTCAGGCATTGTTTGCCTTTGGTAGTCCCGGAGCCATGCCCTGTGACCCCAGCCAGATCTGTGGCTCTTTCTTTCTGCATGCCTGTCACCAGCAGGGTCATGTGGTGTGATGTGTCTGCAGGGGATCGCACTTGTCTCTGGCCTTGGGAAAGCATGTACACCTCTTGGCAGGTGGGGGCATCAACCTTCTGAGGGACCTCAGCTGGCTAGCCATGGCTTCAATGGAAGAGCAGGCTGGCCAGGTGCAGGAGGAGCACCTCCTGAGCAACTGCCTCATCTACCCACAGACCACTAGCCACAAATGAGGACTCCCTCAGTTGTCACAGTCATTGGGGAAACCCTGGGTCTGCTATCAGTGGAAAAAGGTTCCACTTGTGGTGGCCTTAGGTTCAGCAGCCCAAAGGTACCTTCTTAGTGCTGGTATCAGGTTGGCACTGCTCCTACATACTGCTACCTGGGAAGGAGGAGGAAAGGAGGGAGGAAGCCCAAATGTTCCTCAGAAGTTGAGCCCAGGGCTGCCCTGCCATGGGAGAGCTTTGGAAGGACAGTGCTTTAGGTCATTGCTGTGAAGTTTGGGGGCTGTGAGGGAAGGCCAGCACCTGAAAATTCACCTACGTGTAAACTCAGTAGGCAGCTTGATAGAAATAGGTGGTGTTTATCTTTGACCCAGGGTGGAAATGGATCAGTGTTAGAGTGTGCTTTGGAATCCCCGGATACCATGTGCATGAGCATGATTTGGGGTTAAAGAGATAACCCAAATGTGGCTACTGCTCTGGGGCTTTTTATTTTCTTTTTCTTTTTCTTTTTCTTTTTTTCTTTTTTTTTCTTTTTTTCTTTTTTTTTGAGGTGGAGGTGGTGCTGGGGATGTAGCCCAGGGCTATTGCCATGCTAGGCAAGTGCCATACTGCTGAGCTATACACCTAGCCCCAAGGTATTTTTGGTGGAGTGCTGGGAATAGAAGTCAGTACCTTCTGCTTGCCAGGCAGGTACGGCATCACTGAGCTATATATCCCTCCACCCTTTTTTTTTTTGAGTATTGGGGATTGAACTCAGGGCATGCTAAGCAAGCATTCCCCTTCCCCAGTGTTACTTCTATTGAACACTAGCGTGGGTCTGGTTGCAGGAATACTGGTTTCATCTACAGAATTAACACTGTTTTGTTTTTTTGTAGGATGAAACAGGTGCCTATTTAATCGACAGAGATCCCACCTACTTTGGACCTGTGTTGAACTACTTGAGACACGGAAAGCTGGTTATTAACAAAGATCTTGCAGAGGAAGGTACATTGTCCTTTTTGTACTGAGAACTTGGCTTTGGGGCTGGGTGCTATGAAAGTGCTGGTTGGTCTACTGTGCAGGTGCTCTGAGCCAAAGTCACATGCCAAGCAGTGGGCCTCAAGCTTGTGGCTGGACTAGAGTCTTGGGCGCCAAGGCCTTGTTCTTCCTCTGAAGACAAGGGCCATGGCTCTTGGGCTGCTCTAACCTGATTCCTGCAGGCCTCTTGGGGTGAGGCTGCTCAGTGGCTTTTCAGGATTGCTATGGCCAAGGGTCACTTTTTAGGTACCCTTTTCCAAGTGTTTGGTTAGTGCTGTAGGTGTGAATGGGCTGCCTGCTTTTTCTCATGGGTGTTTTGGCTGCCATGGTGTGAGGCCTTGGGGGGGTCCCTGCCTGCTTTCCTTCCAGGACAGCTCTGGCTTAGCAGGCATTCCATACTGTCACTCTATCTCTGCCTGCTGTCGCTGGCCACTGCACTGCTTTCCTGCCTGGTCACGGAGCACAAGACATGCTCACAGGTGCAGGCTTCCTGGCACCAGCCCCTAGGCTGGCCCGTCACATACAGTATTTTGGTGTTAGCTCAGAACAGTGAGGCTGGTCAGGTGTAGTGGTGCATTCCCATAATCTCAGCTCTTTGGGAGGCTGAGGCAAGATGGTCACAAGTTCAAGACCAGCCTGCATAACTTAGCATCTTAGTGAGATGTGTCTCAAGATAAAAAAGAAAAAAGAAAGAAAGAAAAGCCAGTGGTTATTTCTAGAAGGTCCTAGGAGGTTCTGGCCTGGCCCCTTCTTGGAATGGTTGATCTAGACTGGAGTGCACAGATTTTCTCCCTTCTACTCCTTCCATCTTCATTTCTTTTCTCTGGGCCTGTTGTCTTCCTGTGTGCATGCAACCCCCCCACCCCCACTCCAGGGTACTGTCCTGTCATCTGGGTTGTTGCTCAGCCTAGACTGGAGGGACATGGCTCCACCTGAGGCTGTGAGGATGTTTCTTGTCCATATCCAGCGGCAGCTTGCTGTGTGGGGTACCCTTCTCTCCTGTTCTGTTTGGAGTGTGCAACTCCAGGTCCCATTTCCCATAACTCTCCATCTTTTCCACACCTCTGTGCATTGTCCTCAGCTGTTGTGGCCTAGACACAGTTTCCTTTGGAAGGGTTGAAGAAATGAGGCGGGGAGTCTGTACCCATAAGGAATCCCTGAAGTAGGGCTCTGGAAATCTACCCAAGTTTTTTGGGAAGTTTACAGTCCCTGAGTGTGGGACATTGCTGGTGGCAGCCTTTGCAAAATCCAGTGGAGCGGAGAGCAGTCTTCAGCCAGCGAGCCTTCACTTAACTAGGGAAACTGAGATGTGAGTGACTCAGACATACTTGCCAGGGTATGATGTCCTGGCCTATGGCATAGGATGCAGGTTTCTGGGCTGCAGAAGAAAAGCACCAGTCACTCTCCAGTGTCTATGGGATTAGTGCAGCCCGTCTGCCCTGCATATCACCTGGAGTGATAGTGCCCAGAGTGTAAACCTAACTATCCTCAGTTTTGCCCTTTGCCCCTGATGAGCAGTATGAGCTGCAGGTCTGCGAGGACATTGGGACGGGATGGGGATGGGGACAGGTGGGAAATGTTTATCCTTTGCTGTGCTGAAAATCTGTGCCTTTCCTATATTCCAGGAGTGTTGGAAGAAGCAGAGTTTTACAATATCACCTCACTAATAAAACTTGTAAAGGACAAAATTAGAGAACGAGATAGCAAAACGTCACAGGTAAGATGTGACTATGTAGGCAGTTTTCAAACCCAATGTGTGGGCACAGCTCTCCCTTCTCTCTGCTGGGTGTGGACCATGCTCCCCTGCCTTACCCTCTAGCTCCTCTTGCAGTACCCCAAACAGGACCCACATACCTCTGCCCAGCTCAGGGAGCCATGTTCCAGTGAGAAGAGACATAATGTAAGCCAGGCTAAACTTCTCATCCTTTAACGGCGGGGGCGGAATAGGTAGCTGCATGGAGGTTAGCCATGGGGAACACTGGAGCAGATGATGCCTAGGATGGGAACGGGACAGCTGGGAGGCCTGTGATGGGAGGGCAAATGCAAATGGCCTGTGGCCACTGTGGCTGGAGGAAGGTCAGTGATGAGCTGGGAAGTGGTTAGAGCAGGGACTGGGATCTGTGCAGACACCGGGAGGACTTGGGTTTTCCTAAGGAGACTGAGGTTGTGCTCGGGTGGTGCCACATGCTTTCTCCTGACCCTCCTGGGAACCATCACACATGGCCACTGTTAGTGGCCCCACTGCTGCCCTTGAGGCTAGCATTGTCTGGGGTAGGCGCCATCTAGCACCTTGGGAAGGAGGCACCAATCAATTTCAGGCGCTGGTCTTGTCGCTGTGCCAGGTCTGTACTTCAGAATGGCTGGTTCTGTATCCAGGAGAACAAAGTGAAGTGGAGTTCTGTAGTGCTCTGTTAGCTGCCCCCACTTTATAATGGGCTTTCCCACTGCACAGGTGGTGACCCTGAGCCAGGGCTCTCTGCCATGTAGAAGGAACATTGATGGCCTGGTCACTTACTAGCTTGTCAGTCACCAGGCCAAGGGAGACTTGTCCATGTGGCCTGCCCTCAACCCTGTCCCCTTTGCTGGAGCCTGTTCATACCAGGGAAAGGCCCAGGGAGGGCCTCCTTGTCTACAGGGCAGTAAACAGGTCCAGGGCACTCCTTGGTCCCGCCCCCCACTTTGTACCAGAGATCAAACTCAGGACCTTGTAATTGTGAGGCAGGTGCGATGCCACTGAGCTTAATCCCCGGCCCTGGTCCTCTTACTTGTATGCTTTGCCTCTTCTTTATCCTCCAGTCCCACAGCTCTATGATCTGGGCCGCATTGAACCTTCCTGTGTTAGTGTCTCTGCCCCTCATTGAGGTGGGAAAGACTGGTCACAGGGTCAGGCCTCACCGTAACATGTGGCAGCCATTGCAATTCACTGTCCTGATGAAGGCACCTGGGGGCAGCAGGGCTAGTGCGTGACTTTGTCACTGTGTGTCACTGGCACGAGTCACTGTAGAATACCAGCATGACCTGGGCCCTCATCTGTTCTATATGTGCTGTCACCTGTGGGAGCCACTCTGGGAGGGCAGACCCTGGTCTGTCTTGTTTGTTCATGTGCTGAGGACCGAAGCTACTGGACGCCATGCAGGACCTATGGGGCAGGCGGCAGGTTTGTGGATCCTGGAACGGCAGGCCTGTGTCAGAGCTGTGGCATGTGACAAGAGCTTTACTTAGATGCAAGAGCAAACTGTGTTCAAACTTTCCTGCTAGATTTTCCAGTGGTCAGCACTGAGACCAGTATGGCCCCATGTGGAATAGGGGCTGATGTTCCTGTGTGGTTTTTTTTGTTTCTCTTTTCTCTTTTTCTTTCTTTCTTCCTTTTTTTTTTTTTTTTTTTTTTTTTTTTTTTATATTTAGCTTTTTCTTTTCAGTCAGTTTTTAATAATAATAACAAGGAGAATGGTAACTGCACACAGTTTTTAAGACGTTCACTTTACAATGGTCTAATGCTTAGCACAGAGAGAAATTTTTTTTTTTCCTCTTTTTTTTTTTTTTTTTTTTTTGCATTTTAAAAGTAGAACATTTGGGGGCAAATGAAGGGGAAGGGCATGTGGGAGCTCTTGAGGCACAGGTTAGCTGTGTGCGGGGTGGCTCTGGGCACTGTGATCTGTGGTACATGGGCAGGGTCCTTTGGCTTGGGTGTGAGGCATGGCCTTGTCTCACGGTGGCCCTTGTCCTTGCAGGTCCCTGTGAAGCATGTATACCGCGTGCTGCAGTGCCAGGAGGAAGAGCTCACACAGATGGTGTCCACCATGTCCGATGGCTGGAAGTTTGAGCAGGTGACAGGCTGCTGGCTGGGACTGCCACTCCAGGGATCAGTGAGGAGGCTTTTGTCTCAGGAGTTCCCGGAGATGATCCCCTGGTGTCCTTGAGTCCTGGGGTCCCTCAGCTGACCCACACCCTATGCTAGCACAATGACTGGAGTTTGAGCATGGAGGTGCAACTGTTGAAAACACACCCCCACTCCTCCCAGCCCTGCTTTCTGCTGATTCTCACCCCATCTCCAGGGGCTTCTTTGTGCTGCCTTCGGCCCTCTGTGTGTGGGGCTGGCCTTCTGAGCAACGCTGCCAGGTAGTGGGTACACACAGTGGCTTTTGTGTCCCTGCCCTCCTGAGGGCTCAGATGTGGGGACCTATAGGCTGAGTCATGTGTTTTTCATGCCCACAGTCCATGTTGTCCTGGGCATGTGACCCAGGAAGGGCCAGGCACTGAGAAACTGCTATCATCAGTCCTAGATCTGTGACCTGGGTTGTCCTTGTTTGAAATTCGTGCATTGTGTCCTCTTTTGCTGCCTTGTGACTTCTTGCAGGGGGTGGGAAGAGCATCCCCTACCAAGACTGGCTTTAGGACTTTGTCCTCAACGTCCTGGGTGATCCTAGACCCAACCCACAGGATGTACCGCCTCCCTCTTGGTTCTGACCTTTGTACAATCATCCCTGGGGACATCTCCATACAATTTATGCTGGTGAAACCAAAAGTGTGAATCATGTAGGCTAATAAGGAATGCTTCCCCAAAGTAGGGCCAGAGGTGTGGATGGATAAGCAGGCTGAGGACCCACAGCTTTATGAGAGGACCAGATCCAACCCAGGGTTACCCAGCAAGTGATGAGTCCAGAACAGGGTTACCTGGTGAGAACATAGGGTCCCTGGCAGACGTAGACAGATGCACTCCCTCATCGGTGCCCTCGCTCCTGCAGGAGTGACCACTTGCTGTGGAGACTGTTATTCTGACCTTACTCCTGGTATGCAGCTAGGGCAGCTCAGTGTTTCAGCCACTCTGGCTCAGCATTTCTGCCATTAAACATCCTTATGGTTTTGCCAAGTTGCCTTTTAATTAATTTTGTGTTTTAAAGAACAAAGCACTTGTTAGTTGTGGGGCAGCTTTGTCCCAGATGTATGACTAGAGCAGCAGCCCAGCCCACAGCCCCAGTCCTGCTCCATTTTGACTTGATGTTCTGGGGTGTTCAGGGCAGGTTGCAGTGGCGAGGGTGTGCCTACAGGGCACAGCCAGCACACAGGTTAAGGTGCAGGAACCGTAACTCTTGCTCAGCCCTCTGGGCTTCAGTGCTGCCTTTCTTCCTGCCATTTCCAGGCACAGTTCTGAGGCTGCCTGCCCTGAGCTGGGAAGTGGGGTCAGTCCACAGAGGTCCTGCTTCCCAGGAAGGATCTGCTGATGGCTGTAGGCATGGGCAGGATGCCAAAAGCAAAGCATGTCACAAGATCTGGCCCCTTCTGCCTATCGCATTCTCTGGGGTAGTCAGTCGGTGTCCCCTGTGGGCCTTGCTGGGAATGCTGAAAGCAGCTCAGCAACCCATAGGCAGAACCTGTCCTGGCATGTTATGTGATTGCAAGGAGGCACTTGAGGGTGTCAGGAGTCTGCTTCCCCAGCTCATCAGAACAGAAGCCAAAGCTACCACTGTCTCCTGAACCCTGAGTTTTGCCACAGTCTTTTCCTAGTGGGGCGTGTGTGACACTGCCTGTGTCTCCCTTCCAGCTGGTTAGCATCGGCTCCTCATACAACTATGGAAATGAAGACCAGGCCGAGTTTCTTTGCGTGGTCTCCAAGGAGCTGCACAACACTCCATATGGCACAGCCAGTGAGCCCAGTGAGAAGGCCAAGGTGAGTGCTGAAGGGCCTGCTCCCAGCTCTCCTCCTGGAAGGCACACTTTCAACAGGTTGTGCTTTGAAAAGTGCTGCCTAGTACTGCCTCATTGTATCTTACTGTTCTCGCTGAGCTTACAGCCACCAGCCCCCAGGGAGCTGAAGGTCACCTGCAAGGCTGCCTGATTTGGCCAAGCAGCTGCTCCTGCCAGCAGATGCTGGTCTGTGCTTCCTCAGCACATACACAGAGCTGCTCCTGCAGGTGTCCCCTAGACCTGTGGCAGGGGCTCCATGTGTTTGGTCTGCCGCTATGGGTTGTTCTCTTGGGGGACCCAAGGGTCCTCTGTTCCTAGGAGACATACCCTGATGTGGGAGAGGTAATAGCCCCCAAGCTAGGGTGGATTCCCAGCATCAGCAGCTGCTTCAGCCATATCCACTGGTCCCTGAAGTGTGTGTAATATGTGAAAGAGAGTATCCCATGGTCCTACTGTTCTGGTTTTTTATTTGTTTTTGAGACAGGGTTTTACTATGTAGTTCAGGCTGGACTTGCTGTGTAGCCAAGCTAGCCTCTACCTTGCAGAGATCCTCCTGCCTCAGCTTTTTAAGTTCTGCAATTATATCATGTGTCACCACACCCAGTAGTTCTGCTTTTCTGCTCTGTGAGAGCCAGGCTCATTGTCCCCTAGGGATGGCAGTACAGGGTTTGGCCTGCTTTGGTAGCTTTCTGATTAAGCCAGTGGCCTGCCCACATGTGATCATTTTGGTGGCATTTTCTCTGGGCACGTTCTTCTGGCTGAGGTGCTTGGTGGACAGATACACTGGTCCCTCTGCATTTGGGTTGCCAGAGAGCAGACAGTAGAGCTATGCAGTGGTTGGAGAGCTCTGCAGTCAGCTCTGAGTGACCTGAAGATCTGCAGTGGTGAGGGCCACAGTGGGGCTGAGGATGTGGGTGAAGCAGGAAGAGACCAGATTTGGAACTTAAAGGTCTTTTTCTTTTTCTCCTTTTTTTTTTTTTTTTTTTTTTTTTTTTTTTTTTTTTTTTTTTTTTTTTTTGTCAGTGCTAGGGATTCAACCCAGGGCTTCACACTTTCTAGGTAATTGCTCTGGAGTGCTCTGCCACTGAGATACATCCCCACCCAGTCGTGGGGTGGGGGTGTGTGTATGTATGTGAGTGTGTGTTACAATTAAAGTCAGGGAGTGTTGGGCTACAACCTCAGCTCCTTTTTTAAGTCAGTCTCACTCAGTTGCCCAGACTGGCCTCAAACTTGCCATTCTCCTGCCTTAGATTTCCAAATAGCTAATTTCAGGTATGGGCTACCACACTCAGCCAGGATGGATTTTAACTGAAGACATTGAATTAGGGACTCCATGGCAACCAGACCGTTGGCCAGTAGCTACCTTCCCAGGTCCCTGTGAGCCTTTCCTGGCCTTCTTTGGGCAGGGGCTTGGGAACCGATGGGCAGAGTCACTCTGTGGGTGTCCAGGCCATGCTGTGGCAGCATCTCACTGCTGTGAAGTGTTATGTGTCTCTTTGGTAGTCTGGCGGTCTGGCCTCAGCCTCCTGTAGCTCCACTCTTGGTCCCCTGTGCTCACTGGCCCTTCTGCCACTGCCACCTTGAGGCCCAGGATGGCATACAGTTGGGCAAGCCCCACAGTGCTGCACAGCAGATGGGTAAATCTGGGGTCTGGTCCCAGGTCCCTGTTAGACCTGGGAGCCTGGAGGTGCCCTCCACGTCTCTGAGAGACCCTGAGCTGAGTTGTGGGGACACACACTTTCTGTCTTTGAGCAGTGACAAAGCTCTTTTATAAATTGTTTTATTTTTAGAAGCTTTTTATTTCTGAGCTTACAGTTTTCATAACACAGCTCACCAGGGCTCATTTCCTCTAGCGCCTTGTCAGCTGCGGAAGGGAGACATTCTGTGCTGTGAGGAAGCACCAGGCACGACCCCAAGTCCCTTTGCTGTTGGAAGTGTGGCCTTGTTTCTCTCTCCAAAAATATCTGGCTCTGAAGTGGGGCAGCCTTGCCAGCTTCTAAGTAGGGCAGAGGCAACTTACAGGGAACTGAGGCAGGGTCTGGGATGTCTGAAAGCCACACAAAGTCATGGGATCTAGATCTGGTGGGCAGTGATTTGGGAATACCTTTCACATAGGCTGGATGGAGCAGGGTCACACTTCTGAGGGCAGCAAGTCATCTTAGGGTCTGTGTCTGCTGAGTGAGGTTAATAGCTGCCCTGCTCACACTGAGTACTGGTGTATTCTTAACATTTAATGGCCTCCTAGCATTTCCCCGTTTCAAGTTGGGAGTGGTAGAGTGAGAAACATCAAGGCCCATGTGTAGCCAGTGTGAGGACTTGGACCAAATGAGAATAAGAGGGACTGTCCCCATGGGAACACCTTCGCCTCCAACACAGGAGGCAAGTACAGGATGGGGAGCAGACCACTCAAGTTCAGGAATTCCTTAGAGGACTCAGAACTCACCCAGAGTGGTTAATCTTGGGTCACCTTTGTCACAGAGAAATGCAGCTGCAGAAGGTGCCTGGGGCAGAAGCCAGAGGTACCTCACCAAAGAGTCCCACATTCATGGAGTACTGCCCACCAAGGAAACTGAATCTCAGGGTCCCGTGTGTTTCTGGGGCTCCATTGCACAGGAGGACTGACTGGCAGATCGGTTAGTCAGTGCCCACATGGCTGATCAATCTCAGCTCCTCCCTCCATCAGGCAGCAGTGTGGTCCCTGGGCCCTGGTAGACAAAGCCCCTTCTGTTAGGCAGGATGTTCCAGGAGCCAAGGCCACCTACCAGGCCTCCTTTGGGACAGCCTGTCCAGGGGCTACAGAGTAGGTGCTGCTGCAGGGAGTTGGCCTCTGGGAAGCAACTGAGCCTGTTTTCCTTTGTTGGTGGCCTGGTGGGCAACCCTTCCACCTGTCCCAGCCCACACTTGGCTGATGGCCATGTCTTCTCTCTTGGAACACGCTGCCCATCATGCCAGAGTGATGACGAGGAGATAGGGCATCGAGGCAGTGATTCAGATTAAGTTTAAATATCGTGGTGAGCTCTGTAGCCCTTCAGATTGACCTGGCGCTGTAGTCTCCTTGATCCTGCGACCCTAGTCGACCCTTGCCCCCAGGCCCTCTCCTGTGTACTTGTCCCCTGCTTATAGCTGACAGAACCTCTGATACATTCACTGTACATTACAGTAGAGTTGCTTGTGGGGAGCTAGGTTTCCATTTGGACACTGAATGTGGCCTTGCCAGTGTCCCCTCCATTGACTTCACAGGCATGAGGATTGGGGCATTTGCTGGGAGAACCCTTTGTATCAGGCCATGACTGTTCAATGTGGACACGGAAGCACCTGGGCCAGGCAGAGATGCCCACTCCATCCTGCCAGCCCCTGGGGGGCAGCCTTCCTGTTTCTCATGAGACCTGTCTTGGAGCTCAAACTGCTGTCATGTTCCAGAGTGATGATCACATCTGCCTGAATTTGGACAGCCTCTTTTCTCACTTTCCTTGTCTTATAGGCCAGACCTGTGTTGAATCTGACTACACTGTCACTTTTGCAGGGATTGCCTTGTGGTTCCTTGATACTTGGGAAGGGAAGGGCAGGGAGCAGGCTGAGAGTCAGACCAGCCCTAGAGAGATCCTCGCCTCCTACATCTGTCCTACAGGCTGGAAGACCTCACCACTGCCCTGGGAGCAAATAGCATTCTGGGAGCATAGTTGGCACCTGGCCCGGCAATATCTTAGCAGTCAAATGCCCAGCAAGGGATGGTCTAGGTTGGATTGCACGCTGTGGCTTGAGGGCCAGTGCCTTTGTGTGTGCAGCCCCTGAGCTAAGAAGGATCCTTTCTGCTAAATGATTATATAAATACCTATGTGATAGCCTTAGTTTTGCCTTTTGAGCCTCAAAGCCTACAATATATACTGTCCTTTCAAGATAAAGTAAAAAGATACACTAAATTTATGCAAATAATATCAGTGTAATACATACAAAATAAATTTATTTATTGGGGATCGAACTCGGATCCTTGCACTTGCAAGGCAGGCGTTGGAACCTCTGAGCTAAATCTGCAGCCTTTCTTTTCTTTTTTTAAGGTGGGTTGTCCAGGGAGCTAAACTTTGTGTTCAGGTGATCCTCGGCCTCCTAAGAAGCTAGGACTACAGAAGTGTGCCACCACACCCAACTAAAAACATTATCATTAAGTGGTCATAGTAGTGCATGCCTCTGTAATCCTAGTACTCTGGGAGGCTGAGATAGGAAGATCACAAGTTCGAGTCCAGCCTGGGCAACTTAGCAACTTAAAACAGACCCTATCAAAATTTTAAAAAGGATAGCTGGACAGGTGGTGCATACCTGTAATCCCAGCATTCAGGAGGCTGAGGCAGGAGGATCACTGTTAGTTCGAGATCAGCCTGGGCTACATAGTGAGTTCCAGGTCAGTCTCCACTACATAGTGAGACCCTGTTTAAAAAAACAAAACAAAACCAAAATAAATAAATAAATAAATAAATAAATAAAGGCTGGGGATATAAGTGTCAGGTTCAAATCCTAGTGCTGGGTGGGAAAAAAAATCATGTAACATAAAGAGCACTGAGTTTTTGTTTTGGTGTGGTTTTTTTTTTTTGGTTTTTTTGTTTTTTTGTTTTTGTTTTTTTGTTTTTTGTTTTTTGGGGGTTTTTTGCCCCTTATAACTGTAAGTCACCAAAATGAGATACGTAGTTTCTGTTACAGCTCTTGTTGGAAACATTCCATTGAGGGACCCAGCAACCCTGTGGGCAGCAGGCTCTCAGCTGTGACCTGCCCAGGGGGAAGAACTGGAATGGCTGCTGGCTCAGGGAATTGTGGGATCAACAAGAGCCACAACCTCTCTCTTGTCAGCGGGAGGAAAGGGTCATCTGGAGGATCCTGGGGACTTGGAGGCTGGCCAGCATCCTAGAGGGTGAAGGGGCTTCTTTTAGAGCCCCTTCCTCCCCAGTTGACCCCCTAACTCTGCTTTTAGGAGTGTGCCCTAATGACCTCTGCTCCAGGGGTCTGGGCTGTAGGAAGGTGGCAGGGGTGCCCATGAGAAGAGTCCTGGGGCAGTCCATGTAACTGGGCCTGCCTGTTGGACTGCTCTGGTCTCAGAATCCTGGGTTCCCCAGCTGGTCTTTGTCACTGGTCTGAGACCTCTTTGTAGAAGGTTGTCCTGGTAGGAGTATGCCGAAGTCATGGGTTTCTGTCCAGGGCAGTGCTGTTATAAGTCCTGAGAAGTTGTCAGGCCACCCTTTCCATCCCAATGCTCTCTGCTGAGCTCAGCTCTGCCCCGGACTGGTGGCAGCTGGGGCTGGCTGCTGCAGCAGGAGGGTAGAACATGCTTGAGTCACCTCCAGATGTCTTGGTAAGGTCGGGAACCAAAGTGCTTGCCTTCATTGATCTTGAAGAGGGTTGCAGTGCTCCCTGCTCTGTGGGAAGTACCCCCTCAAAGCACTGTGCCAGTGGGTGCTGCAGGCAGTGGGGACCAACCTGGAGATAAGAGAAGTGTTTGGGGTTCCCGGACAGGTGGGAACTCCTCAATAGGACTTGACTTTCTTTGAGCCCTCAGGACAGCGTCCTGGGTGGCCACTTGCTCCACTGCTGCAGGGGCTTGGATAGAAGTATTCATAGTGACCAGACGCTGCTTGCCGCAGTGGAGTTGTCAGCTCTGAAGCATCCTGTCTTGGGACAAGAGTCATCTGTTGTCCCCCTGGCCCTCTGGGCTACTTACTATAAACTGATTTTGCAGATTTGGCTTAGCAATATTTTCCAGGGTCCCAGGATGTCATGGAGCCTCCAAGAACTTCCAGCTAACTTGGTGGCTGCACGGTTGGCTGTATTTGTCAACAAGGGAGGCAGAGCCAGGTGCCCCGTAGTCAGGCTTTAAGAGGGAGAAGCTGCGGACACAGCTGCCAAGGGGAAGCAGGCTGCAAGGCTTCAGTCTGACATGGAGGGCCTGCCCTGGGGTACAAGGGGGTTAGACAGACCTACTGCTGTGTGGGGCTGGTCTGTTAGAGGAGGAGTGTTAGAGGGCATGCGGGTCCACTGCTCAAGCAAAGGCACTTGTGTGGCAGCAGAGGTCCACGTGCCTGCAGCTGGGACCTTGCCCTTCGGTACAAGGTCCTTTGAGGCCATGAATAGCACTTCTCTTGTCACCTACAGATCTGTAGCCAGGCCTGAGTTCTCAGTTCTCTGCATTTGATGTTTTTCAGATTTTACAAGAACGAGGTTCAAGGATGTGAGGACAGTCTTGACAGCTGAAGAAATGATTTACTTTTTCCCAAGATTCAGTGAACCGCCATGTCCAGGAAGCTTGGCTGTGAGAAGAAACCTGCTTTTGATCATTTCTCTAAAGATCTGGGTGTGGATCCTTTTTTGCCTTGGAGGTGGGTGGTGAGAGACAGCCCAGCTGTCAGGCAAGCCATGCCCATGGGGTGGAGGTGGGGGGCTGGATGGGCTGTCTGGGGGTTCTTTCCAAGTGTCACGTGGGACTGAGGTAGGATGTTCCTGACCAGCTGTGCAATCCTGAAGGTTATTTCAAGGGCAGGGCTCTTGGTGCTACATACACAGTCTGTGAGAAGTGACCCGGGCCTCGATGGAGAGAAGGGGCAACGGCTGTACCAATCAATTGTCAAGCGCACCGTGGCTTGGGGTCTAGGTGCCTGCTGGCCACCACCTGAGCACCAGACTCTCATCTTCAGGTCAGGGAGGCCACTCTGCCTCCACTGTGATCAACTGGCAGTTTCTTTTGACCATGGCTAAGACTCCTGACAGAGGTGACCTCTACACTGCTACTACCCGGGCACCTGCTCTGAGGCCAGGCCACCTTCCGGGCAAGGCTTTCCTCCTGACTTCGTCGGCTGGACAGTCAACGCTTCTCAATTTGTATTTTCCAGGCAAGAGAAGTTTGTAACCCTTTTTAAAGTGTGGATAGACTACCTAATGTTTATACTCTTCAGAAATGCCTAAAAGTGTTGCTAGGTTTTGGCTTGGTCTGGTAAACCAGTTCATGGGAAATGGAAGTTTTGCCTTGTCCGTCCCACTTCAGGGCTCGTGGGGGAGCTGGTGCCCACCAGTGCCTTTGTTGTACCCGGGATGGAAGCTGGGGAGGGAGCCCATGCACCTGGCTTCTGGAGCTGACACTCTGGGTCACAGTAAAGCTCGGGATGTTTACAGTGCATCACAGGTCTGTCTGTCTGTCTCCTCTCCCTCCCTCTTTCCTTCTGTCTGCCTCTCCCACTCCCGTCTCTTTTGCTGGCTTTCATTTCCTGTATAACTATGCAGTTCTTCTCTCTGATGTTTCTGGCGTGTTTGAAACGCTACATGACCTGCAATGCTCCACCTACCTGGCGTGACTCGGAGCCTACTGCCTGCCTACTTCGAAACAGACCTTTCTCAGCTGGTGGTGGGGACATGTCTGCCTGGGCACGTGGCCCAAACAAGCGAGCTCTGCTTTTGACTTCTGGCTTCCTGAGGGAGCTGTGCAAACTGACTACGGGGGCTGTCCACCTGCAGCCTAGAAGCTCTGACATGGGCTCATTTCAAATGCTCCTGGAAACCTCTTGCCTACCCTCTCCTTTCTCCTTTGCCAATAACCTGATTAACCAAGTTTTCCAGCATCTAGGACTTACCTCTTTCTTTCATAAAGTCTCTTGTATGTTGTTAAATGTTTGGCTTAAAGAATTCATGAAAACGTTTCTATAGGGCAGAAGTAGCCACTGGCTGACCCTGTCCTCCCAATGGAGCCCCAGCTAAAGGTGGCCCCACTGTTGGCTGTGGGGACATACTCCAGGGAGCTGCCGGGCGCTCGGCATTGTTTGATTTATGACCTTGACATATAATAGGCAGGCTTATTTTTTTTTTTTAATTTAAAAATATTGACTTATTCACAAAAATTTATTCTAAGGGGATATTTATACTTTTATACTTTTTTAGGTATCCGTATTTTATCAGCTTACTGTTTAATGTCTAAGTTTCCCCTGATATTAGCAAATAAAACTGTGTATTTATGAATGAGCCCAGCAACTGTTAGTGTCTTAAAATACATGGAGAAGCCGCAGCTGGAACCACTGTCCAGCTGCTCAAGCCAGGTCCTGGTTCTGGCTTCTAGTCAAGCAAGTCCCCTTTCCCAGTGTGCCCTGAAGGGTTCAGCTCTCTGATTGTCTGCTGCTGCCATTCAGCCCTATTTCCAGGCACATGACTAGCCCGGCCAGGACCTTGGCGTGGACTGTCCTATCAGTGTGAGGTGTGGGGTAGCGGCTACTTCAGTGGGGCAGGGCCTGGGCTTTTGGGTATTCTCAATGCAGTCTGGAGTACATGAGGGAGGGATTTAGATTTTGCCTCAAGAGGTTTTCTGGTGGCAGCTAGGACCTGTATGTGTCTCTGGCCCCTCAGCTAGACACATCTCTGGGTGTGCAGGAGGGCCTCCTTGTGGTAGTGTCCCTGGTCAGAGACCAGAGCACGTCCCATCAGAGCTGTAAGCTAAAAAGGAGACAGGCCAGAGCCTTTAGCAGAAAAGGCACCCTGCACCCCTTAGGCAAAGGTGCCTGCCATAGGATGTCTAGAGAGGGCCAAAGCTCTCTAGCTGTGGCCCCTTCAAAAATCCAGCAGAGCCAGGTGTGGTGGCGCATGCCTATAATCCCAGGACTCGGGAGGCTGAGGCAGGAGGATTGCTGTGAGTTCAAGACCAGCCTGGGTGGGCTACATAGTTCAAGGCTGGCCTGAACAACATAGCGAGACCCCGCCTAAAAAAACAAAAAACATCCATCAGAGAGGCAGGGTTGGCTTGTGTGGATTCCCCAGTGGCTGGCCTTCTGGTTCGTGCCTGTAGACTTCTAGGATTCTGTGGGGGCAAGAACCACACCTGTGGTTGGCTGGTGCCCTGGAGCCTACCATGGGGATAAAAGCCCCAGTGCTGCCACCTGGGGACAGGTGTGGGGTCTCTGGCATTGGAGGCTCCCCTTTAGTCTCTCCCTTCCCCACCTCCTACCTGCCCACCTTCGGAGCACCTGCATGTTGAATGGTGATGTCTGCCAGGGTCATTTTGCCCTCGTATCATCTGCCCCCATATGTGCTCCTGGGCCTGGAGCGCTCCCTCACCTGGGGTCTTGATGCCAGCAGGGGCTCAGCCCAGCCATTTTTCTTGCTGTGGCTTTATAGGCTAATCATGTTCCTGTGCAGTTGGGGGGCGTGTGCATGGTGTGTGCTTGTGTATGTGTGTTCATGGAGATGGGGCAGCGCGCATGTGTTGCTGTTTTGGTATCACCTGCCCCGCTGAGGTTGGTTGAGGTGGCCTTCCACGCTCTTCCTGCCTGGAGGAGGAATCCAGTCCTGGCCTATGCCAGCAGCTCCTTCAGTGTTCTTCCTACAGCTGGCAGCCCTGATGGCAGATCGCTGGTAGCTGCCTGGCAGATGTGTGGAGAGTTATAGCTAAGATGTTCTCTGACCTTGGGGTGTGGAAGGGAGCCTGCGGCAACCTGGCGTTTCTCTTCTACATCCTTCTCATAATACTGAGCTTAGTATAAGCTGTGAATTGCATGGAATAAACTTGTTTTCCTTTTCAACCCCTGGTTCTGTGGAGAGTTTTTCCTGCCTCCTGCAGACAGCTGCCTGTGGAATCTCCTCCCTGGGGTTGGCCAGCAGGTCACAGGGGTCTAGGTGGGACATGTGACTCTGCCTCCTCTAACCTCCTCCACCCTACCCTGGCCAGGACTCCACGCACAGCCCACAATCTGGCCTGCCCAATTATCTGGGCTCTGGCACACTGCCTCTATCAGACAGATGAGTACCCCTTCCTGACCAGATACCCACCCTGGTCTGGAGCAGGAACTCAGCAATTGGCCCATCCCCAGAGGTCACCAAGTGCCTGATGGGCAGTAGTGGCTGAGGCCGGGCAGAATGGAGCTCAGGAAACTTCTGATGTTTTGTCCCCACTGTGTCCCCAGGCCAGACTACAGCAGGTGCTTGCTAAGTAGTCATCCGTTTCATAGGTAACGGTGCCTGCTCCTCAGCCCTAGGAAGGCGGGCAGTGCCTGTGTGTGTGCACCTGAGCATGTGTGTGTGGGCCTGGTTGTGCACATGTGTACAAATCCACCCCTCCTAGTAGCTTCAGACATTTGAATGGGGGATCGGGGTGATAGGAAAGGAGCCTTGGTGTCAAAGGGAGAACAGGCCTGGGCTGGTCCTGGAGGGGTCTGAGCAGTGGAGTCACGGGCTAGAAAACAGCCTGGACATGCCCCAGGGTGACGTGGTATTGTTAGAGAAGTCGGGGATTCTGGAGGGAGACTTGGGGTGGAGGCCATGGGTCCCTAGCACAGCCTCCCCTGCCCCGCCTGAGTGTCCTCTCCCCGTACCCTGGGCATAGCTCCTGCAGTGGCACGGTTGTCTGTAACTGACTTTCTGCCTGTGTCTGTCCACAGGCCCTGTCCAGGGCAGCCCTTAGCAGAGGATCAAGGTCAGAAAACCGAGGCATAAGGTGGCATGAGGGTAGTCTTCTGTGAGGAAGTCTGAAACAGTGTCACAGGGACTCAGTGACACCCTAGCCTGGGTGTGTCTGCTTTGTCCCATCCCACCAGGAACTAAGTCTCTGAGTCTTCTCCCATGTCACAACTCCCCACCCCCATATTCTCAAGGGTTTTGACCTGGACAGTTGGCACTGAGTTTTATTGGAAGTCAACATAAATAAAAATGTCTAGGCGTTTGAGATAGGGGAGATGAAGAGCTATTTACACATGTACACCATGGGCGGCACGTGGCCCAGTGACGTGGTCTGAGAAGAGAGCAGGTAGCACCTCAAAGACCAGCAGGGCCACATGGACAGCCAGGCAGGGTGCTAAACTCCCGTGGTGGTCTCAGGGTTCTTGACTAGTGGCCACCTGCCCTGCCTGACTGGAACCTCAGGTCAGGGATGATGCGATGGATCCAATTGTGGTGTGAAGTGACCCGGATGTAGACACCAGGGCGGTTCCGGCGGGCACAGCCCTCACCCCAGCTGATGACACCAGCTTGTACCCATGCCTGGTTCACTAGGCACACCAGGGGGCCCCCAGAGTCACCCTGTGGGGGAAGCAGAGGCCCTGAGAGCCCACCCGGTGCCACCAAACCCAGGGCATCCAACCCTGGCTCCAGCCCCTTAGCGTCTCCTTCCATCCACCCTTGGTCCCTCTTTTCCTCAGTAGGGTACCCCAGGTTCCCTACTTGTCCATTGGTGTTGGGTGGGGGTGAGCAAAAATGCGACTTTTGCAGCCCTAACCCAAGGACCTACTTTAGGTGGGGTCCAAAAGTGCTCTTCCCCAGTAAGCTTCCTGGCTGATGGAACCAGCATCCCACCCTGCCCTGGGCCTGGAGGTCGGTTGGGTCATTCTCCCTCCTACTCTTACCTTACAGGCATCCTTCTTGCCCTCTGCAAAGCCTGCACAGAGCATGTCATCCTTGATGGCTTTGGGCTGGAAGCCGGACTCTGTATCTGTGCTGTAGAGCAGGTTGCACTTGGGTGTGTCTATGATGGGGACAGCAAGTTTCTGCAGGATCCGTGGGTTGGGCAGGCGGTCTAGGAGTGGGCAAGCCAGTGGGCAGTCTTCAGCAGTGACCTGTGGCTCTGGATCCCCAGAACCACAGTTCAGTCTGTTCCTGCCCAGGCTTCTGCTGTGTTTAGACCTCTCATGGAGCTGGGCCCCTTCCCACGCTGAACCCCAAACTGACCGTTCTGTCTCCACATCTCCATGGCTCTGCACTCTAGGGCAGCTATCCTTTCTTATCCCCACCCTGCCTCTTTGGAGTAGAGATCTCATGTAGCAGTATGAACAAAGATTGTTCAGAGTAGCTCCCAGCCTCCCCTGGACCTTTTCCAGGCCATCTGCCTTTCTCCCTGGGCTCTGCTCCCTTACCTTGCTCACTAGGGCTGCCCCAGCCAGTAACCCAGCAGTTCATGTTCGTCTCAAACGTGACTGAGGGGTCAGGCACGCACACAGGGAGGATGTAGTTGGTGAAGATCACTGGTGCCTCGAGCTCCACCAGGGCCACGTCTGCACTGGAGGCCATGCCCTGGTACAGAGGATTGCTCTCCACCCGTTTCACGCGGGCGTAGATGGCGTGTGGCCCTGGCTGCTGCAGCTGCCTTGCCCCCAGCAGCACGCGGTACAGGGAAGTTTCAGAGGTGCTGGAGGGAGAGAACAGAGGCCTAGTGTGGAGAAGGGGATGAGGAGCAGGAAGGCTGTTGCCTACCGCATTTCCTGGTGCCTCTCTGCGAGTCGTGTTCAAAAACATCATCTTTGTGAGGGTGTTCTGCAAGGTCAGGTGTAGAAGCTGCAGTGAGATCACTCACCTTTAATCCCCAGCTCGGTTTCAGGCCACCGGGTGACCTTGGATAAGTCACCTAACAAGTCTTCTGTAACTCAATTTCCTCGTCTGTAAGGTGGGGACAGTGACAGCCCTACCAGAAATGCCTGCTTTTGAGAGCTGAAGGAGATAACCACCCACAGGTGCCATGGGGCCCAGCCATGCTCTGTAGCCCAAGGCAGCCACCCACTCTGAGGGTGGTGGGTATAAGGCGTGGGTTTTTAGGAGAATCCCAAATGCAGTGAGGTGAGAGGTGTGGAACCTCACAGGTCTGGGATCAGGTGGTTCATAACAGTGGTCAAGACTGAGAACCTGGCCACTTTGTTGGCTATTATGAGGGGACCTTGCGGGAAGGGGAAGAGGAGGAGATGTTCTGTTCCAGTCCTAGGGCTTATCTGATTGATACCAGAATCCCAGAAAGGGTTCTGGGCTCAAGGTGGGCGGAAGATGGGGAAGAAGGCCAGAGTGTGAGGGAAGCCTGAGCAATTGCAAGGGCCAGGTGTGGGACGATACCTCACTGGCAGGTTGGCTGGGGCAGCAATTGCATCTGCAGATTAAGTTAGTTCTGGGCTCGGGCCTAGAGGAGACCTGCGGCTGGGAAAGCAGACAGGTGCAGGACCAGGCTGCCAGGGCCCATGGGGGCTTGTGGGTCTGCCTCAGGCTGGACACTGTCCGTGGTGCTACCCCAGCTGGGCACCTCCCAAGCTCTGTTTTATTCCTACTGAGTGGGGCAATCACAGGGGTGGACACACAGGGGACCGGGTTCACTCACTTGGAGAAGCAGTGCGCTGCAGTGAGTACCCACTGTTTGGTGATGAGGCTGCCCCCACAGAAGTGGCTTCCGTTGCGCTGGATGCTAACCTGCCAGGGCCATTCGCCCTCCATGGCATCCTGCCCACCCACCATCCGGTTCAGCATCCTCCGGTGCCCGCAGGCTGCAGGAACATGGTAGAATTACTGGGGGCTAATTCCATGGCTTTGATTCCAGCCCCGACCCCATATGCCAGCTTCCACTTTCTACCTGATTCCTGGCCCCTGACCTGCTCAGGGACCTTGGAAGTCAGACCCTCCCTATCCCTAACCTATCAGCCTCAGTCCCTCACTGGGAAGAGGTGCCCTAGGACTTGCCTCTCCAGTTCTTGGGTATTGGGGCAACAAATGGAAAGGCCCCATCCCTGGGCCTGACACACAGGAAGAACAGCTGGTGTGTTTGCCCCTCGCAAAGGGCCCTGAGGGACAGTTCTGCATACAGACAGCCTCTGACTTTGGGGTTCCCTGGTGCCCTGTGTCTCCCTCCTATGCCTTGTTCCACGTATGCGCCCATGTGTGGGGTTCTCTGCCCTCCTTCAGCACAGTCATACCCACTTACCTACTGGTACCTTGGCCCCCTGAGTCCCTGCAAGTGAAGAAAAGGGGTCATCAGCCTACTTTGTTAAAGCCAAGGTCCATTCCAACCTTCACCTGCCTGCCTGGTCACCACCTTGGTCCCCCCACCCCCCGCCTCTGGAGACTCAGGAGGGATAGTCACCAAGGCATCTGGCAGGAGAGGCCAGGGGCCCTCAGTTTCCCTCGGGCCTGGCTTGTGGGCAGAGCTTATCTGCAAAAGGACAAACAGGCCACATGTGGAGTTGACCAGGAGAGGCCAGTGCAGTGACCCTGTGGCTTGACATCCCTGAGCCAGGATGAGTCCATCCTTGTCCCTGCAGGGTTCCTGTCTCTCCAGCCTTGTCTGGACCGGGGTGGGTAGACCTCTAGCCATGGGGTCTACTTTCTCTACACCAGCATTTTATCAGTGAGTATTCTAGAGAGAGCAAGTCCCAAAGCCTAACTGGTCCTGAACCTACAGGAGCTCCTGCCCTCGAGAAGCCACCACGAGCCAGGATTCCAGAACTCCACGTTCCCCACAGCTGAGCCATCTTGGGCCAAGATCCCCTGCTGTCCTCAAATCTGCTGCAGCCCCAGAGGCTCCACCCCAGATTTGGAGCTCAGCCAGGGGGTCCCCTCAAGAGAGACCTCTCTGCCCCACCCTTTTCTGTCACCTGTTCCTTGTAGCAGGTCCAGCAGAGCTGGAGAGAGGGCAGCCAGGTCTCCCTGTGCCCCATTCACTTGAACCCAGAGTGAAGAGCCAGATACGGGGAACAGGAAGTGGCCTCAGGGAGCCATGCGTGGCCTACGGTGCCCAAGGATCTCAGAGGAGTTACGGGACTTCATTCTTCTTGTCAGGCTCCCGATCTGTAGTCCTCAGTGTTACTGGAGGACAGAGAGGTGGGTGCTGGACTGGGCACCAGGAGGATCCTGAGAAGGCTCAGCTGGCCTGGCTGCTTCTCTAAGTAGGGACGTCAAGCACATAGGGGGTCAAGTGTGCTACGCCAGGTGGGCAACAAGGAGCAAATAACTCGTGTTCATAATGTGTCCTTTTAAACAAATGCCCTAGGAAGGTTATCCTGGCATCTTAGTATAACATCACTTGACAGTTTTCGACACCTGACCCTCTGCCCTTCCTGAGTATTCCCCTTGCAAATGCTACTCCCACCCACTCTCCTCATTGACACTAACATCCTTTAAGCCTCTCTCTTGGTTTTCCCTCCGTCAGACTCCCTTTCCCCCATGCATGTCCGTCTTCCCCACTACAGCTCAGCTGCTTCTCACTTAGGCTGAACCTCCTGTCCTCTGCAGGTTCTAATCCAGATCAGAGCTTCACCAGAGTCCCGCCTTCTCTAGGAAGCCCTCCCTGCTTGCACTGTCCGTCTTGGGAACCTCAGTCCCTCCCTCCCTTGAGCTCTTTGTCCTCCCGCGGGGCCTTGCATCTCACCCCCTAGGGAGCCCTGGGAAGGTAGAGCCTCGTCTGCAGCCCTGAGCTCAGAGGAAGTGGAGGAGCAGAATGCTGTGAGGACTGAGCAGGAGAGCGAGGCTTTTGATGGGTGGGCATCCTGTCAGGCTGGAGGGCACAGTCGGGGTGTCAGCTCCCCATTCTGGGCCCAGGACTGCTGGTATGCCTTTAGCTGGTATAAAGCCCTGGGGTGCTGGGCCTGCAAGAGCTGGTGAGGGCAGCATCTGGGATTGAGTCAAATGCAGCTGCAGTACCCACTCTGGCAATGACCCCGATTGCTCAACCTGCCGGAACAATAGAGGTGTTATACCCTGTGCACATGGGCTCAAAAGGTGCTATTACCTTCCGCTGCGGAAAGCCTATCTGTGGAGGCTGTTCAGTGAGACTGGGGAGATTGGATCCTCCCCATAGGGGGCCTCTCGCCCCCCCCCCCCC